GGCGAAAAGAGAGGTAAGGAGAAAAGAGAGGAAAAGATAAAAGAGATGGAAGGAGAAAAGAGAGGAATGTCAAAAAGAAAGGGAAGGCTAAAAGAAAGGGAAGGCTAAAAGAAAGGGAAGGAGAAAAGATAGGGAAGGCGAAAAGAGAGAAAAGGAGAAAAGAGAGGAAAGGAGAAAAGAGAGAAAAGAAGAAAAGATAGGGAAGGCGAAAAGAGAGGGAAGGAGAAAAGAGAGGGAAGGAGAAAAGAGAAAGACGTATTAAAAACATAAAATAATGAAAGAAAGAATGAAGAAAAGAGTGAAGAAAATAGAGGAAGAAGCAAATTAATAAAGATAGAGAATGTGAGATTGAACGAGGAGAAGAGAAAGATAAGATGGAAAAAGAAAGAATGGAAGAAAAAGACGAACAAAGAATAAAGGTAGAAAAGAGAGAGATACGAAAGAAAGAGAGGGAGTAAACAGGAGAGAGACACGAAAGAAGAAGAGGGAGTAAAGGGGGAGAGATACGAAAGAAAGAAAGAAAGGAAGATAGAGTAGGAAAAGGTGATCTTAGAGAAAGAGAGAGGAAAAGAATGAGTTAAGTTCTCTTAGAGAAAGAGCGGAGAAATGTAAGGGAAGAGTAAGGTGGAGGGGGGAGTGAAATACGAAAGAAAGAGGAGAAAAGAAAGAGTGAGAAGAAAAGAGAAATCCTAGAAAAAGATAAGGAAAGAGAAATGGAGCCAGAAATAGAGATAGGAGTAAAAGAAAGAGGGAGAGGAAAAACGCAATTCTATAGAAAGAGTGAGACGATAGAAAAGAGAGACTAAAATAAAGAATGAATAGAGAAAGGAGGAAGAGTGAGACAAAGAAATGTTAGAGAGATTAAGAAAATTAAGAGGGGGAGTGAGAGAGATGAAAAAAAAAGAGAGAGATGTGAATGAGAGAGAAAGAGGGGAGTAAAAGCATAGAAAGAAAGAGTTTGAAGAAAAGAGAGAACGGAATAAAGAGAGAAATAGAAAAACCAGAGAGACGGGAAAATGAGAGAGAAGAACAAAAGTGTGAAGGATGAGAAAGATACGAAAGAAAGAGAGGGTGTAAAAATGAAATCCGAAAGAAAGAGTGAGTCTAAAGCAAGAAGAGAATGTAAAAAAAAAAATCAAGAGAGACGGAAAGAGCGGGTGTAGAGATAAAAACAATAAAGACAAAGAAGATAGATTTTGAGTGAGTTGTTTTTACACTTTAACAACCTTTTTGAAGTTATTAAAATCCGGAAAATATTTTTAGTTTTTTTTTTTTGTTAGATAATAATAATTTTTACTGATTTTTCTAATAATTAACCCATAGATAGGGAGAGAAGAGAAGGATTTACACATTTCCCAAGGTCTTTTATTTATTTATTTATTTATTTATTTTTGAGCGCACAGAAGTGAATACAACGAACCTAATCGAAACACTGCCCTTCGATTTCCAATTTCGAGCCATTATACATTACATCACCTACACATCCAAGCTTACAACCCTTGGTATTCCTAAGAGCTCACCCATCTAGTTACTGACCAGGCTCGATTTTGCTTAACTCCAGTGATCGTACGAGAATCGTTGTTTCAACGTGATATGGTCGTAAGCCCAGGATAAAGAGGAATATAGAAAAATGAGCAATATGATAAAGTTAGGGAGGGGGAGAGAGATGAAGCGAATAGAGAAAGAGATGAAGGAAAGAGATATGGAAAGAGAGGGAGCGGGTTGGTTAAATGGGAAGATGAAGAAAAGAGACTCGTTTATTGATCATTCGCTCACTATTTAATGTCGGCTTTGGCAATTCAATTTAAATTCCATCATTAAAAAGATTCCGTTCCAAATTGATCATCTCCGTGCACAAAATAGTCTTATTTCCACAAAAAAGTGCCTCCGTTTCTTTTTCTTTTATATAATGCCCAGCGTATTAGACAATTAACTAGGCATAAAGTGATTACAACGGGCGTCTATTTAAATTCTCGACAACGTACGTAGATTTCTTATATATTATCATAAATTAACAATGAGAATAATTGAAGCTAGTATTCTTAAAATAGTATTGTTAATAATAATAATAATAATGACAAGAAGAAGAAAAAAAGAAGAATGATACAAGACTTAGAAAAGAGGGCGATGTAAGAAAAGAAAAAGAAAAAAACAGTGTGTAACAATGTTTAACAATATTTCGACAGCATGCCTGTCTCCTTGAAGTTATGTTTAAAAATGTCATACAAGTATAAAAAATATAAAAAATAGTCTTTGTGGAAACGTCACTTGTCTGAAGAAAGACGGTTGTACTGGTAATCAACGCGACAAATCGAATAAAACGCTGCCAGCGTGAAGGGAATGCAATTGAAACGTGAGTAACATAAAGGGGTCATCAACATCTTGAAATTTTACGTTATTTGATTAGTTAGTAAGAGGAATTCATCAAATTATTTCGTATAAATTTTATCAAACTCTTCTGACATCCTGTTCATTTTTTATATATATTTTTGTATGAAATTTTTAAACATAACTTGCAGAAGACAGAAATATTGTAGAAATATTGTTATGCACTTGTCTTTTGCTTTATCTAGTTTTTGTTTTAGTTTTCTTAAATCACGTTCTTCTCTAACTGCTGCAAATATTGGAAGAGTTATGTCAATCATTTTGTTTAATAACAATAATATAATAATTTTCCAAAATTTGCTCATTGAAAAAACACCAGAAATCAAAGGAAATATAATAATATGAAACCATAATTAATAATAATGCACTTAGAGAAGAGCGATCTTGAGATACTCTGGTCCCTTGTCTGAGAAAGACGGTTGTACTAATAATCCGGAAAAGAAATGAGTGAAACGAAAAACACCAGAAATCAAAGGAAATATAATAATAATCAAATAAATAATAATAAAATAATAATAATAATAATAATAATAATAATGCACTTATAGAACAGCACTCTCTATAAGGGCGAACATCTTAATGTGAAAAGAAATGAGTACACACCAGAAATCAAAAAATAATAATAACATTCTAAAAAAAATATCCAGTATCCAACAACCTTTGCAACCTTGACATGAAGCTAATTACATATTCAAAATACTAAAGACCCACCACGGGGGAATAATCAAAATGACAGGAGAGTTCCATCAGATGTATAGTGAATTGTTTAATTGCTCTTACTAAGTAAAATTTAAAGATGAGAAAGTTTCCTATCATGCTACACCCGTTTCGGTTGCACTCCATTCATGTTTCAATCAGTTTATCGCGGTGATTACCAGTGCAACCGTTTCTCGCAAGACAAGCGACGTTTGTACAAAGACTCATATATTTTTAAATATTTATTATACTTACATGAAATTTTTAGGCATTCACAATATTCAAAGCAGGATAATTTTTGCTAAGATTATTAATAAAATTATTATTATTAATAATAATAATAATATCTTTGCTAAGATTATTAATAGAATTATTATTATTATTATTATTATTATTATTAATAATAATAATAATAATAATAATAATAATTTTATTAATAATCTTAGCAAAGACTATCCTGCTTTGAACATTGTGAATAGATAAATAAAATAAACCACATGCCTTCAGGACTACTAAGAACAGCAAGAACTAAAATGGCCATCACATTTAACTGGAAGAGGGAATGATAACATAATCAAGATGGTAGCTTTCCACACGACTTCAAATAGAAGATTAAGAAGGAAACCCCCCAACCAATATTAGAAAGAGCGATAACAGCTACTGGATTTGAGAAACCTGTTTACCTAAAAAGGGTTTTTTTCAGAGAAAGGTTTTATAAATTTCAACCGAAAACAGTACTGGCTGCTCGGTCAATGAATCCTGAATGTTTCCTTATACGGAAATAGTTAATATTACTATTAATATTACCCTACCTATCTATCTATCTATCTATCTATCTATCTATCTATCTATCTATCTATCTATGTTCATATTCTGTTCCTTATTTATCTATCTAATTCGATTCATATCTGAACAAGTAAAGCCTGAGGGAATTAGCAAAGATTATCCTGCTTTGAACATTGTGAATAGATAAATAAAAGAAACCACCTCCTTTGAGGACTACCAACAGTGGCAACAACTAAAATGAATGGTGCATGTAATTTGAAGTGGAAATAATAACATAATCAAGTTGCTAGCATGGCACACCACATCAAACAAAAGGTTCAAAAGGAAACCCCCATCAATACTGGAAAGAGCGATAACAGCTACTGGACTTGAGAAAGCTTCTTTTATTTTTTAGAGAAAGATTTTATAAATTTCCTGCCTGGCTCCAAACCCGTTCATCAATATCTAAACCGTCAGATGTATACAACCGCTTTTTAAGATCAGAGCTTAAAATGGTTTCTTCTAACATTGTGGATTGGCGCTACAGAATCATTAAGAAAGAAGTTGTACCACATAACAAAAACTAGATCAGTTGATGTCATTTAACTGCAGCTACTGATAAAATGGATGGCACATGTAACACACAGGGAAAATAATGACATAATCAAGACGCTGGCATATCTCACGTTCTGCAAATAAAAAGTTAAGAAGGACCCGCCCCCATCAATAGGTTAAAGAGTAATAACAGCTACTGGACTGAAACCTATTTTCCTGGAAAATTGTTTTAAAACTACGATTTTATAAATCTCAATCGACAGTATTACTGGTTGCTCAGTCAATGAATGATGAATGTTTCCTTACAAGGAAACAGTTATTACTGTTACCATTCTTACCTAAGATCGTAAGGTTAGGTGCTTCTTCCACATTTTTCATACTAAAGAAATTAGCACCAAAAGTTTTTTTTTTCTATCAATCAATAAAATATTTCATTAGTGGAAATAAGATTAAAAAACAAAGATGAAAACTGGCTGGAATTTTTTGCGGAAAAATCCGGATTGATTTATCTTCCCCTTGGTTTGCAGTCGTTAAAAATGAAGGTGAATACATTTTTGGTCCCATTTTCCTAAAAACTTTGCAGATCAAACATGGTGTTAATCCCTTTTGCAGATGCCTGCTCAGGCATATTAGTGTTTGTTAAATGTCCATAAAGCCTGTGTTTTATACAACAACTATGCTGAACGGGACTTAGTTACAGTATCTGGGGAAAAAAAGGTCATTATCTGACGTGTTCAGCAGTCTGAACAAAGTCAGTATACTCAAACGCTCGGTCACGATGACTTGCAACTTTGTTCCATCGCAACTATCAACTACTCATTTTTCACTCACAATGTCTGGGTCGACCTGTGGTATGTCTTTCAGGCAGATTCCAAAAGGTTTATACACTGGGATCACCTCCTCAGGCCTATAATTTCAAGTGGATCTTGATTGATATTGAATTCAATTCGGATCTCTGGAAGATTCAGGCATAATTCACATACCACAGTATATTAATGACCATATTCGTTTTTTTGTTAAAGTATTTATTTATTTTTTTTTTTTTTTGTGGAGCAATAATGTTTTCCTCTTTTCTCATGGATTTTACACCTACGGGCGTATGGCCAATTGGTTAGAATGTTCTCTTTCCGACCATGAGAAAAAGAAAATTAGTTAATAATAATAATAATAATAATAATAGAAGAAGAAGAAGAAGAAGAAGAAGAAGAATTTTCATTATACACGGGGTCGGGTTTGTCTCCCTTCCCAAACAAGACTGCCCTTCGACATAGCCTCCTCTGGGTTCCTCTCCAATCTCGAGGCAGAGAGTTCGACAAGAAATGAAGAGGAAGAGAAAGCCTTCCTCACCCTAATCCTCTGACATTTCATCAGACCCATACTTATGATACCCAAAGCACCAACAATATAATTTGTAAAGTTTCCATTTGAAATCATGGACAATTTATCAGGAAGGTGACATCTTAGAGATCAAGCAACAAAAACAACAATAATAGATTGATGGATGATAGGGTTAACATCGGCATTAATACATTTAATTTTATGATATTTCAGTCACTTTCCACTGTTCCATAACGTGGCTTTCTTCTGTCTTTTCTATTAATATTTTCACGGCATGAGTTTTCCGCTTAGGTACCACAAATGTATGAAATTAAGCGAAGTACTAAACTAATTAACAAGTTAAATCACTAGATGTAACCGTAAGTTCTATCCCGCCTCTCGATTTTCGAATTCCCTTCCGGCTTCTTTCTTTTCAGACAAATTCTGATCTTCAAAAATCTAAATGCATTTATCTTTTGTCTTCTGCACTTGAATTGTTCTCCCTCCTTAATAATGTTTTCATTAACCCACATTCACTCAAACTCAGTAACGCCTTGAGTTTTAGTAGCATAATCGCATTGTTTGGAGTAAAATAATTGAAAAAAAAAATGGTATTCCCTTTTTCTCATTTTATTTGCGCACTAATTTATCTCCGAAGAAGTGTTGATTGATTTATAAGGCTTATCAACCGTTTGTAGTTTATTTAAAGGCGAAACATATTTCAGACTGTAAGAGGTTGCTTACATTACCCAGTGTTCCCTAATCAAAGGACTGAGAAAGCTCGACCCTTCTTAATTTTGGTGATTGGACTAGAACCGGTGCTTTAAAAGTAATTTCGTTGTAATCATTTGAAAATAGCAAAAGGAAAAGCCATTTTTACTCATATACAACGTCCATACCTCAGTATCCTTCTGTAGAAACTCATTCTTCTTGCCTCAAGTCTGCTCATCATCTGTGAGGAAAAATGTCCAGCATTTACTGCCAAAGAGGAAGATAGATAATAACTAGGATTTTTTGTATTAGAATCTGTATGGAAACGTACAAAACGTTTTCAAAATTTGAACTATTGGTTTCGTGAACTATACTCTGCGTATTTAATATAGTAATTAATTATTTGAAAAACCAAGAAAAGTCTATTGGAATTTTTGAAAAAGAAGTTATGTAATAATAATAACAACAACAATTGATCATCTGATATCAGGTTGCCCGATATTGGCACCCACTGCATATAAAACACAGCATGATACAGTTAGCCAATAGATGCACTGGAAATTCTGCAACTTCTACGGGAAAGAAAATGGTATGAACACCACCTAGACTCGATTATGGAGATATGACCTTTAACAATTTTATGGCACTACACAATGCACACTGACAGAACAATCAAAACCAACCGCCCAGATATTGTTATTAAAGACCATAAACAAAAAAAAATGTGCCTCCTTATTGATATGGCGGTCCCTGCAGACTGTATTGTATCTTTGAAGATCTTTAAAAAAATCTATCAAAATACAAGGACCTTGAAATCGAAATCTCAAAAATGTGGCACATAGGAACATCAACAATCCCTGTTGTAGTTGGAGCCCTCGGATTTGTTGGAAAAGATTCCAGTAGACTCATTAAATGGATCGCTAGAAGTCCACGCCTTAAAGAAATACAAAAAAAAAATGTTCTTGCGAGTACAGCCCACACCTTACGAAGGGCTTTATCTATGTAAAACGTTTCTTTTGTTTGTGTGTGTGTGTGTGTGTGTGTGTGTGTGTGTGTGTGTGTGTGTGTGTGTGTGTGTGTCAGTGGAAAATGTCATGATGCCGTTTCTAACCTTAGGTCTCTGATGGGGACCCGGAACGAAATGTGTACACACCAGAAATCAAAGGAAATAAAATAATAATAATAATAATAATAATAATAAAAAGAATATTTATTTCATTTGTTTTTTTTATTTTAGATTAACTGTAATGTGAAACGTAGCTCAGACAACATATTCTCCACAATCCGCAAATGTCAAAGCAACGTATGTGCCCAGCGAGCCGCAGTTTGGCTACCTCTGGCATACACTATTATTTTACATCGTCGAATCCCAGACGTTTGCCCAAACCCCAAGGGATCCCCTCTCCTACCAATTCTTTTTTGCTCCAGTAATGTGTATCAATGTTTGCGTCACGCCAACTATATATTTATTTATTCATCTATCTATATTATTATTATTATTATTATTTGCAGTTGCAGCAAATTTTGCTGGAGATGGAGCCAAAGTATCAGCTGTCCACAGCCAGTTGAATGAGGTGTCATTTGTTCATGATTATTTGGCGAATTCTTCGGAGTATTCGAGTAGTCCCAAGAATTGGAGACTTCTGCTAGTGTCCAATCTTGACACTGACCCTAATCCTCTCTATTTACCGACTTCCTTACAAGGTAAGATGTGGCGCAAGGCCAGTTTTTAAGATGGGGCGGTTTCTAGCGTGGGGAACACGAGTGTTTCCGCTCGGGCCGCTGGTCTAAGCCGGTCTTAACTTGTTTAAGCAGGTCTTAGCCGATCATAGCTTGTCTAAGCTAGTCATACCATCGTTACGTGACAGCTGTAAGGCAACGGTGGAGCGGGAGAACGCAAGAGATGAGAGAAGGCCTCCAGCAC